AAATACTTATGAAACTAAATCTATGAAATGAATCAAACCTTTAAGTGTAATGATTCATTCTTAATCCTTATTATTTGTGTTTAGTTAATCAAGAGTTTTACTTCTATCAACTACTTAAAAAATTTCTTGGATACATCATAATTTCCCAGGTTAAAAAAAAAAAACAAAACTAAATCTATGAAATAATTTTGCTCATGACATAATAATTATAAAGAGAGAAATTATCTGGTGTAATAACTATGGGAGAGCAAACAGATTCGAAAAAAATCAGACCTATTCATGACATGATTATTCTATTTTGCCTATTCTATTTCGCTATAGTTTACAAACTTTTGTATTAGCTCTTTTTATTCTCGTATTTATATTAATGCATTTTCTAACTATAAGTAAGCAAGTCATTTTTGGTCTTTTATAGAAAATATGACTCATAAATATTTGAAATATTTTGTAGTCAATTAATTATTTTTTATGGGTTTGTTTAGCCAGTTTATGTTAAATGTGCATTAAATGCATATTTTTACGATTAATTTATATAAAAAATTAACTTTTATTCGAGTGTTAATGCCATATAAATAGTTTTAATTAATTAATTAATTAACTTTAAATTAATTTTTATCAATTTTTATATAAATTAATAATAAAATAATATATTTATTACATCATTAATCTCTACTTTAAGGATACAATTTAAAAAAATTCTTATTTTATTACTTTAGAGGGAGACAACTAATAATATTTTATTATTACAAATATGAATTACTAACAAAAAATAATAATAATATTAAAAGACACATATTTTGATATTTTCTTTCAACTCCACAATTGTTTATTATTTATTTGACATAACATGAATAGTTGAAGAAAATTCTCTGTAGAGAAAATTGATTATGTGAGTGTTTGACTTGAATTATAGATTGAAACCATGCAGAAATATGTCTTTATTTTTATGGATAATGACAAAGTGGACAATTTTAGGGAATGAAAATAGAGGACGATAGATGACAAGCTTAAAGTGAAGGACACAAAATAACCAATTTGAACTTG